ATTATAATTTAATTTAAGTTTAATAATGAAATAACTTATTTTTGGTTTAATAATATAACATTTTATAAATATAATAATTAAGTATTTTGTTAGAACTCTATGATTATCCTAATTATATTTTAGATTTTTTATATTTTAAATGAGATGTTTATCCGGTATTTGATTGTGTTTATCTGCAGTTAGTTACACGAATTCAGATATGTGATGAAATCGGATAGGGATGAACGGGTTTAAGAGTTTTTAAGAGTTTAAGAGTTTTAAGAGTTTTAGCCAAATGCTTTATAATATAATATAGATAATATTAAAATAAAAAAAGAATATGATTTTTTAATAAAAAAAGACACAAAAAAAAAAAAAAAAGACCCAAATACCTCTAAATTTAACTGGTCTAACAAAATAAAATTAATAGACGTTAAAAAGAGAAACTCAATAGGTGTGAAAATGTGAACCATAAGTATCATCTATGTATTTATTTTAATTTTTGAATCATTATAGATAGAAAATGTAAATTAGAGGGGCCAACTATGTAATTTACTCCTTTTTTATTTGGAAGAAATTTTGAAAATATATGGCATGACTGAGAACTGCAGTGGACACGTGTTTGATGGTAGGGATAGTGTCAATTTCTTATCCACTTCTGTAAAGACTACTACGCGAAAACGGTGGCGATCATGGCTGCCATTGCCTTTCACTTTTCCCCTCCTTCCTTTTGCTACTCGTCTCCTTCCCTCCAAAATTCCTCTTACTCTTCTCTATCAAGACTCCGATTCTCCTGCTCCGTCTCATCGTCGGTACCTCAGCACGGTGGCCGGACAGGTTTTATGGAGTTCCCGTACGTTTCGGCCCCACACAAAGATCTTATGGTCGACCTAGTATCCACGGTCGAAACTCGCCTCGAGTCTTTCCTTAATCCTTGCAATCTCCCGCCTGATGTACAGTCTTGTCAGAATTCCACCGGAACAGCTCATGCTTCTATCCATCTCAGATCCGGCGTCCAGTCGTCGGTGGTACTCTTCCACTTCCACTTCCACTTCCGTTTCTGTTTTGGATTCACTTAATTTGCGTATGTTAGCTTCTATAATGGTCATAATAATCTATAATAGAGTGTTGAATGAACTTAGGGTTCTATAATTCCTAATTTAATTTAGGTCAAGCTTAACTAGTCGAATCTAAAATAGACGATTAAATGAACTTAGGGTTGTATAATTCTTAATTTAATTTGATTGAGCTTAATGCTATGTTTGGGAACTCCAATATAATTAAACAAAAATCAGTTCTATATTTGAATAACTTACCAATTGGTGATCAGAGATAAAATATGAAACCAATGGCAACAGTACATCAGGTGTTCCAATGTTCAGCTTGTATGCAAGGGCTTCTATTGAGATTTGTTTTGATGTATCTTGAAGAACATATATAGAAATTCATCACTGAATCGTGGATGTTGGCATGTTTAATTTGCAGATTGATTTCATACTTGGAAGTTGGCTTCATTGTGAGTTACCATCAGGAGGAGCCTTGAACATTACGAGCCTGTCAGCCTATCTAAACTCATCGACTGATGCACCCAACTTGTTGGTAGAGCTCATCCAAAGCAGTCCAACATCTATGGTTCTAATTCTTGATTTGCCTCCAAGAAAGGATCTTGTTCTCAACCCTGATTACCTCAAGACATTTTATGAGGACACCCATTTGGATCAACACAGACAACATCTTGAGAAGCTCTCCGAGGTAAGACCGTACTTCTCGTCGTCTCTTTACATTCGTTCAGTCGCCTCTCCCACCGCAATCCTGGTGCTTATCGAGACTGAACGACTCGAGGAAATGATCAAAACCCATGTTAGCCCGATTGCCAAGGAAGTGTTGAAAACTTGGTTGGATATTTGTGTTTTTGGGGAAAGGAGAGTAGATGAAACTGAGAAAGCTTATTTGAAAAAGAGGGATGAAATGAGTAAAAGCAAGACCATTGAAATCGATCTGGGTTCAAACCTGCCAAGGTTGTTTGGGCATGAAACTGCTAACCGCGTACTAGAAGCTCTACGTGAGGTTTTCTGAAGCGAGTTTTGTTTGATAAGGACTTGTATTTTTCTGCATCGAAGGTTGTACCATATTTCGATGCTCATGCATTATCATCCCCTTGGTTTGCAACTTCATTTTTACAACACACCAATGTTATGAATCTTGAAACCAACATAATTATCCTTGTTTTTGTTTTTATGGCTGTATTTTTCGCAAATTTTAATACAGTTATTAGATTTTGTTGAAGTACTTCAGCAAACATTGATGAAAAAAGGTATCAAAATGACCATGCAAAAGAAAGGATTTAAAGGATGCTGTTTTCCATGTTTGACGACTGATCCCACATCGCTATATAATGGAAGCTGGAAGCGCTTAATATATAGATTTTATAGATTGGTGGTCGCCGGGCTTGGTAGCGCTTGCCTATTACCTAAGCAGGGGTATTAAGGTGGATTGGACCTTGAGTTGGGCTTGATGTTGCAATATCTGGCTTGCCCATTCCAAGTTGAGAGTTGGTTCATGTGGCTTAGGCGAAGGCTTGGGTCACTTGGACCTTAGAGAAGGGGGCAATGCGTTAGGCTGGTTTCACAGAGCTGCGACAACTCCTCGCTCCTTACAGTGGAAGGATCACAAGCTTGGGCTCGCCAAGTCCAATATGCCTACTGGTCTCGCTCAAAGGAACACCCATTTTTTTATTTAAAAAAAACATAAATTGTTTTTTTAGTGTTTGACAAATTTTGCTCATGCATGTAAAATGACATTTTTTCCGATACCATGAGGTCCAATATGCCTACTTTTTATACATCAACATTATTGTATTACTAAAAGTTCTTTTTATACATCAACATTATTGTATTACTAAAAGTTCTTTCCATGAACTAATATGGATTAATTTTGATTTTCAAAAACATGTATAAATTAAAATGCAAGTAAATAAATTATGAATTAAACTTAAAGTTATACGAATTAAAGAGTTTGTAATTCTCTAGAAACATGTTATTGTTCGAGAAAAAATTAATAGAAATAGTCATTTTCAGATTTTGGTTTTAGTCATTTTTTTTCCTTATATTTCAAAAATGTTACTACCTTTGCAAGTTGTAACTTCTCAACTTGTGGAGAGGTCAGAAGTTTATGATATATGTCCGTAAGTGACTTGCGGAAGTGTTAGAACTAATTTACAGATTTGGTCCATACATTTGTGGACCTGCTTCAAAAACTTATATTTTTTTACACTTTGACTCTTCCATAAGTTAAGTTGAGGAGTTGTGACTTGTAAAGATGATGACATTTTTGAAATGTTAGAAGAAAAATGGCTAAAAGATAAACCAAAGGAAGGGGGTGTTAGGGATTGCTTATTTAAAACAATTTATGTTTTTTTTTTTGTGAAAGTGCTTATTAACTTATGTGTTGTCAGATCTGAGTTTTATAAAAAGTGTTTCGATTAGCTTATAGTGGTATCAAAATGCAATAAGCTGATAAGTTGGTTTTTAGTGTTTGACAAATTTTGCTCATACATATAAAATGATTAAAAATGGTATTCTTCCTGATACCATCAGATATATGAGAAGATCGATCTCATAAACTTCAATACTTAGATTGATCAAACCTAGATTCATGACCAGATTTACGACCATTTCCACCGGTCAGAAATTTATTTCGATCCCGTCGGTGATCTTTGAGATGCAAAATCATCGCCAGTTCACGGTTGACGGTGGTGGTTTTCTGTCATTGTTCATGAACAACGTCGTTTTCAAAGCATGATTCATAAGCTACAGTTTCATCTCTTCAAAAATGGAAGAACAATAAATCGAATTCAAAAGTTTATGAGATAGATCTTCTCATATATCTGATGGTATCTTTTTAAGATCGATCTTCTGGTTCGTAAAAACTGGAAAAGGTTAAAGATAAAGGGTATTAGAAAATGGTTAAAAAGGTAAATTGTTAATAAGTTGAATTTGATAGTTAGGGGGATTCATTTAAAACGACTTATTATCGATATCACACGGAATAAGTCAATAAAAAGATTCCATAAGCAAATCACAAACACCCCAAAATGTCTATCTATGCTATATTATAAAGTATTTGACAAAAACTCTTAAAAACAATTTTTTTTATGCACGAAGTACTGTTTATTGCTGCATATTACTTAAAATTTAAAATTACAAGTAAATTATGCGTAAGTACAACTTATTAAATCTTCATACTTGAATTCGTCTAACTAACTACAGATAAACATAATCAAATATTGGATAAACATCTTATTTTAAAATATAAAAAATCTAAAATATAATTAGGATAATTATAGCATTCTAACAAAATAATTAATTAATATATTTAAAAGAAATTATATTATTAAACCAAATATAAATTACTTCGTTATTGTACCTAAATTAAATTATAAAAAAATTGAAAAATTACAGAAAAAATAAGAAATTTTAAATAATAATTTGATACTAATATCGATATATTTTTGTCAAAATTCTATGATATCTTCAAACTTATATTTTATTCAAAAATAAAAACATTATCGTTTTTTCAAAATCACATACGACCATATTATCACACTGAATGAGATAAAGAATAAAATGAAATATTAAAATCAAGATGTATCTCGATGCATTGTGCGAGTACCGTTCTAGTTATATTATAAAACATTTGACAAAAACTATTAAAAATAATTTTTTATGCATGAAGTACTGTTTATTAATGCATATTACTTAAAATTCAAGATTACAAGTAAATTGTTTATAAGTACAACTTATTAAAACTCTATGTTTGAAATAGTGTAACTAACTGCGGATAAACATAATCAAATAGAGAATAAATATCATTTTAAAATATAATTGGATATTTATTGAGTTCTAACAGAATAATTAATTATTATCTTTATAAAAAAATATATTATTAAATCTAAAATAAGTTACTTCGTTGCGTTAAATTAAATTATAATAAAAAATTTGAATTAAAAAATATACAAATAAAAAACTTTTTTTTGCAAATTTTATATGAATTTTTTAATTTTGTATTTTATTCAAAAATAAAAACATTATCGATTTCTTAAAACCGTATAAAATTATATTATCTCAACATAAATAAAAAATAAAATAAAATAAAATATTAAAATAGAAATGTATTTCGATATACTAATTTTAATTAATTTATGCGGTTGGAGATCAAATACATATACTATTGGGTCTAAAGACTTAACTCCTCCACAAATTTAATTATATTGCAACCCGGACCCGATGTCGAATTCCACGTGTTTGGTTTGATTCAATCGGCGGGAAGCCGAGTGTAACCAGCCACTGCTCCTTTGTAGCATGCACCTTAATCGTCCTTGCAAATTTGCGGCTCTTTTCGCCTCTTGCACACAACTTTCCTACTTGAAACCTTTGAAGGCTCAACTTATCGTCCATGGGTTCTTTAAACAAGATACAGTTGTGGGGGATTTTATCAGACGATGCATTGATCTGGGTGATCCCCAATCAGCTCTATCAACCCTCTCGAGAATTAATCCCACCTTGTTCTTGCAGAATTTGACTATCAGGTGCTTACATGATCATGAATTGTACCAAGATGTTGTTGTTGCCTACAAATTTTTTCAGTCTTCTAGCTGTCCATCTGATAATTTTACCTTTCCGTTCGTGATCAAGGCTTTTTCAGCTTTAAAAGCTATTCAGAATTGTAAGGAGATCCATTGCGTTATTTTGAGAACTGGGTTTGATCAAAATGTAGTTGTACAGACGGCTTTAGTTGATTTTTATGCAAAAATTGGTGAAATCAGTCTTGCACGTAAGTTGCATGATGAAATTACTCAACCAGATTTGGTTTCTTGGAACGCGTTGCTTTCTGGGTATTCTTTGCATGGACTTAATCAGGAGGTTTTTGAGGTGTTTGGCAGGATTAGACTTACAAATTTGAACCCCAATGTGAGCACTTTCGCTAGCTTAATTCCAGTGTGCTCTCGTTTGGAGGATTCAAGGATAGGAAAGTCCTTCCATGGGCATGTTTTCAAATGTGGGTACTTTAATGATTTCTTGATTCCTGCTTTCATTTCAATGTATGGCAGCAAGAATGAATTATCTGTTGCCAGAGATCTATTTGATTCTGTACCGAAAAAGAATGTTACGATGTGGAATGCCATGATCTCTGCCTATACACAGAGCCTGAAACCTTATGATGCTATTGAGCTATTCAGAAAGATGACTCTTGATCACGTCAAGCCTAATATGATCACTTTCATGTCTATAGTTCCCTCTTGTGAGATAGTTGTGAGCATTGATTATGGCGAGTCACTTCATTCTTATGTTATCAAATTAGGGTTTCAGAACCAACCTGCTGTTGCCACAATCATTTTGTCAATGTATGCCAAGTTCCGTCATCTGAATTCAGCCAAATTTCTCTTCAATCACATGACCCAAAGAAACCTCTTGGCATGGAATTCTATGGTTTCTGGGTATGTTTATAACGAGTGTTGGACAATGAGTTTGGTGGCATTTCGTAGTATGCAGGCTGATGGGTTTAACCCAGATGCGGTCTCTATAATCAGCATTCTTTCTGCTTGTTCTGGACTGAAAGCAACTCTTTTAGGTCAATCTGCTCATTCATTCAGTCTTAGAAGGGGTATGGATTCGAATCTCCACTTATCTAATGCACTAGTTGCATTTTATATCAACTGTCACAAAATGAGCTACTCTTTTCAACTGTTCGAAAGAATGGTCATAAAAGATGATGTTTCATGGAACACGCTAATATCTGGATGCGTACACAATGGAGAAGATGAAAATGCAGTTCTCCTCCTTCAGATTATGCAGAAAAAAGGTGTGAAATTAGATTCAGTCACCTTGATAAGTGTACTCCCTTGTTTCAAGAATCTTGAAAATTTGGTCCAAGGTATGGCTGTTCATGGCTGTGCTATAAAACTCGGAATCGCCTTTGATGTTTCTTTAGACAATACACTTATCAGCATGTACATGAACTGTGGAGAACTCGATAAGGGGAAGATGATCTTTGATGAAATTCCCGATAAGGATGTAGTTTCTTGGAATGTTCTGATAACTGGTTATCATCTCCACGGGCTTGAAAAAGAGGGAATTGATTTGTTTGCTCAAATGGTGAAGGATGATCATAGCCCAAATTACGTGACCTTGTTAAATGTATTGTCGATGTGTTATTCGAGTATGCAAGTGAAGTCAATCCACGCTTATGCAGCTAGGAGATGGAATATTATGGCCGAAACCTCGTTCATCACGTCTCTAATATCCACATATGGTCGATTTAATGAAGTAAGTTCGTCTTATTTTCTGTTTCAAATGGCAGAAAAAGGGGATATCTCAGTTTGGAATGCTATTGTAGCTGTTCTTGTAGAACTAGATCATGCCAGGATGGCGGTCTCTTTGTTCTCCTGTTTACTTCGAACGGAGGTGCAATCTGACTATATAACAATTCTCAGCTTAACATCAGCTTGTGGTCAGTTAAACCATATAGATTTTACAAATTCTATAATGGGTTATGTCTTACGAAAGGGAATCGACAAGTATGTTGCTGTTAGCAATGCGTTTATAGATTTGCATGCTAGATCTGGGAACATATCATATGCAAAGAAGGTGTTTGATGAAATGCCTCTTAGAGATGTCATCTCCTGGAGTACAATGATCAGTGGATACGGGTCACACGGCAATGGTGAAGCTGCACTCGCTCTGTTCACACAAATGAAAGATTCGGGTTTCCAACCCGATGAAGCAACCTACACTAGTATCTTGTCGGCTTGCAGCCATACCGGATTAGTTGATCAAGGGCGGATGGTATTTGAATGGATGCTAAAAGATACAAAAATCTTGCCACGGATGGAACACTATGCTTGTATGGTGGATTTACTCGGTAGAACGGGCCACTTGAAAGAGGCGTATGATGTTGTTAGGAGGCTGCCATTCGAGCCTTCCATAAGCATACTTGAGTCGGTGTTGGGTTCGTGTTTGAATCACGGAGACATTGAAGTTGGGGAGCGAATCGGGAGGCTGATTACGGCACGGGATGTGACGAATTCGGGAACATATGTGATGCTTTATAATGTATATGCAGCAGCTGGGATGTGGAGTGAGGCTAACAAGGTTAGGCGGTGTATGGAAGCAAAGAATTTGAAGAAATTGCGAGGTTTTAGTTTTATTGAAGGACAAAGATCCTGCTGAAGATCAAGTGCATCAAACCTGGAAAAATAGCGCGATTATGAATCGTGTGTTTATCAAGTTGACACCATGAAGCTGTTTAATAATGGTGCGTTTATTCCATTGGATAGGACATAGTAAAATAGAACAAGGATCGTTGTTTCATATTTACATGTTATTCATGTGGAATAAACAGGAATAGTGGATTAGTGGAATAGGCATGTTCCACCTCCTTGAGGTGGAACAAATCTATATTTTATCAATATACCTTCAAAAAAAAATTAATCCTCTTTTAAAACATCAAATGCGTATCCCTCTTTGCACTTTATCCTTATTTCTAAGACGTCAAATACACATCTTTCTTTACATTTTATCCATTCTTTAAATTTTTATTTAAACGGATTTTATGTTCTTAAACTTTCAATTCATTATACTTAAAATATTACTTTTATACGGTTTCGATATTTTGGTTAATTTTGTGTAATTTATTATATATTAATAATTAAAAAATAATATAAAAAAGTATGAACTAAGGTTTGGAAATTGCATAAACTTCACATTTAGTGTCATTTTAATTGTCTTGACAAAAACTTTCTAAGTATATATTTTGTCATAAAATATATTTATTTTAGAGTAAATTACATTACTTTGGATCTCTATTTTGAAATATCTATGGTTACAATCCCTATAGTTTGTAATTTACAACGCATTGGTCCCTGACTTCCAACTCCCCTAAAAAAAAAAAAAAAAACTGTTATCTCAGGAGTAGTTAGGTCTTTTTATCAATTCTTTACTTTTTTTATTTAAATAAAATAAAATCAAAAAAGAAAAGACTAAAATGCTTCTCTAAACCAACCGAGTTAGCAGAATAATTAGGATGGAATTAGATTTAGGAACCAATGTGTTATAATTTTCTATAAACACGATGGGGGATTAAAAAAGAAGTATTATTTCCAGGCAGGGTTTTGGACATAATTTGGATACATGAAACACCCAAAAAACGAATAATCATGGTTCTGGTTTTACATCATCATAATCTCCTAAACCCTGCAACTTTAAAAAGACTCCAGAAGAGTTGTACTAAACCTTCTACATAAACCCATCCAACTTATCTATCAATCAAATCCCTCTTCTGCCAAAACAAACCCAAAAAGAGATACAAAAAAACAAACAAACTCCCAGAAGAAAGGCATTCCAGGTTTCATGTCCAAACCAATTAACCACCTCTTCCGCTCATCCCACGGTCGAAGATGACCCACCTGAAGCCGGTTGTTTCGCCACATAAATCTGCTTCACTTTTGTTGAAGATGGGAAACCCTTCTCTGGTCCCATGGACTGATACCTTCCGTGGAACCCCGTCCTACGATGGGACCACTGACCCATGGTTTTGTTCTTTGGAGACACCCCTCCACCTCTTTGATACCCATAACCACCACCAGGATGATTGTACTGTTGATTCTTACCCTGTTGATGGTGTTGGTTCTTGAATGCATTCGTGGTCTCAATGTTGTTATTGTTGATGCCAATGCTAATGCCACCTCTCTGAACAGCATCAGCGGTCTTTGTGCTTCCTGAAGAGATATGGCTGACAGTGATTGGAGCAGACGTGGTAGAAATGGATGGGCCGGATGAGTCTACCAACCCAAGTTCATCAGGAAACTGGTTCATGGTTGAATCTCTAACAGGAAACACCATCCCGTTGCTGTCCGATGGAGTTGAAGTTTGAGGTTCGGAAAATCTATTTGGGGGGAATGATGATTGGTCAACAGGGTGTCCTCCATGGCTGCTGAAAGGGGTAGGCGCTGTCATCGCTTCTGCTTGCTGCTGTAATGGCAGTGACATAGGAACCGCATGAAGAGGTGATGCAGGTACGTGAGACCAGCGAGCTTGGACTGACATGTCTGGTGCAGTCTGAGTACATATTTCATCGAGGTTTGTCAAGTAATGATGTCATTGGTGCAAATAGACAATTTTAACATGAAACATTTCAAAAATAACAACAGCGGATAATTTAGGAACTACAAATATTACCTGAAATGGAGGCACGTCAAACATGGTTAAAGGGGAACCCATCGGCAATAGGGGAGAGCCAGGAGCAAGATGCTGGATGGGACCGGACATGTTAGGAGGATTGCGCTGTCCAGAAACCATATTCATAGAATTCATGTCTTCTTCACGGGCAGAAGATGTTGGATCATGCTTCCAGTCGGGTTGTTTTCCAGATGGGATATATGTGGCACCCATAAAGCTCAATCCAACCTGCCCAAACTGACCAACCGGAGCATAATGGTTATAAACCACCATATGTGGTGGGGCTTGCACACCTGGAATACCTCCAGGTGAACCGATGAAGGGGCCAGTGAATCCAGCAGGAGGGCCATAAAACGAGTCCATGCCAGAATGGTTTTGCCAGGCTCCAATATGCCTTGAACCTGACCCTGTACTCTTTTGGGATTGAGACTGGGTCCCACCAGATTCGTCATGTGGGCCAAACGCAAAGACTGGACCACTCATCATGGGATGATTCATCTCGTAGAAGGGAAAATGAGAAGGTGCAGCTCCATGGAAATGAGAAAGCATCTGAGTTGATGAGCTCTGAGGACTCGGTAGTGGCGGCCATAAAGATATCGGCGGAGTTTCAACAGAGAGATCAGCAGGAAGTGATACACTAAGAGATTCCTCAGGCTTAGATTGACTTCCCGATTGTTGATCCCCACCCAATCCTGCAAAACATTTAAAATAAGAACTTGTTGATATGGATAAGAAGCATCAACTTTCTATGCGACGACAGCAAACATATGAATAAAAACCAAAATGAACACAATGCAAGGACAATTAGCATTACCTCCTGGGATATCTTCAACTGCACCTCCAAAAGTTTTCGTGCCTGAAACTGAGACGGGTCCCATCCCATTGCCAACGATCTCATCCGTATCAATGGCAGCCACAGCAACGGCTGAAGCAGCTGCTTCAACTTCAGCCTCACAATCTTCCGTCAGAACACAAGATTCACTGGCGTGCTCATCTTTCTTGAAAAATAGATTACGATCACTTTCTGCTTTCGAAATACTTTGGGCCATGTCAGGACGGAAGGACCCAGGAGCCCCAATCCCATGTGAAACAACACGGCTACTAGGAGGAAGTACTGTTGGCGAGGTGACTGCACCTGAGTCTCAAGGAGAGACGATAACATCATCAGACTTTGAAAATACAAAATTCATTATAGTGCTTAAGCTTTCAGGAAGCAGATAAGCTTACCAAACTGAATTTTTTCACCAGCAAGCAGAGAGTTGATTGGGCTTGAGGAGGATGAAATTGATTTTCCCTTTGTCGATATTAATGACGATGTCAAAATGGGTTCACTAACCAAGGTGCTATGATCACCAATAGATGTTACATGTGTTGTACTGAATCGTGCAGGCTTCATAGCCTCATCAAGTTGAGTCTGAGTTAAAGGAATAACCTGTAGGATGTATCTGAATTAATTCAAGATTTCACATAACATGAAGGGAAAATAAAGAACCAACATTTATTCAACACTGAAAGATCTTCAACATGAAATATAACATATCTTACTTAGCAGAAAATAAATTATTAGAACATCACAACTGCATATATTAGAACATATAGATATACAACAATGGACCACTAAGCCAATCTCAGAAAAGTAACTTGATTTCTCCCATTCTAATGTTTGAACTGAGATACACTATAACAACAATGAAACAACATGCTTAGAAAAAAGATACAGAAAAAGTAAGTTATCACCTGTTGATCCATCCGTGCATTACCCCAGTCGCCCAAGGATGTTTGCACATTATCAGTAACCTTATTTTCAGTCTCAAACATGAGATTTGAACCAAGGTCTTCAACTGCACCAGATATTGCAGATACAGATCCTCTTTGGAGAGTCCTGTAGAGTAATGTATATGGTTAACAACTAAATACAAAGAATTTTCCATGCTATTTTCCGTTTCCATGAAAGAAAACATACTTGCTAGTATGCGATCTTATCCCAGTCTGAACATCAGTATCAGCTGAGGGAGTGCCGATTGGAGCCATTGGTTGAGAAGCCATTGTTGAATACTCGGTGGACAGTTCCTTGTTCACCAAGCTGCGCCCCTCAGAACCAACAAAATCAGAACGGATGTTTGATGCTTCACCAACCATTGACACGGAGATTTTATTTGGACCGGTGGAGACTATAGGACCTTGAACAGAAGATCGAGTCTTTCGAGGTTGCTGATGAATTAAAAGAGAAATGTTATGGAATATCCAATGTATTATCTAAGCAAACAGAAAAAAGAAAGAAAAAACCATTTGAATTAAATTGACTGTAAACTGAAACCTTTGTAACCCGTGATTTTGCCTTGATTTCTTTTTCTCTCTGTTCACGCCGATCATTCAACATCTGCCGTTTTGACCTGACCTCTATGAAGTCATCTTCATCACTTGGGCATTCTATGCCAGGTTGCTTAAAAACACGTACAACACCACTTTGCAAGGGAGCATCAACATCCTCTTCGGGAATGTTCCTTTTTAGGTTGCCTTCCACAGTGGATGACGAGGCCCGAGTCTTAGTTGGTGTTAGTCTTGCAGTTCCTTTCCCTGGCCCGCTTTCAGAGGTTATCTCCTGAGAACCACTTAAACCTGCAGCTGAAGCATCAGGTACAACCCGCTTCAATGATTTAGTGGACACCATATGACGCCTATACCCACTTCTTGTAGAATTTCCCACACCTTTATTGCTTAACTTGTCATCCAACCCAGAGCTATTGGAAGAACCCATTCCCAACGGCTGCCTCCTATCAGCATTATCCCGAACTCGAAACTCCGTTCGCTGGATTGGACGTCGATGTTTCCTCTGAAACTCATTAGAACCCGAGGGAGAAGCCTCGTAAGCTTGAAATGATCTTGGGCCAGAATTTCTAGCCGGGTAGGGAGTTCTCTTCCCCCTATTAGCAGATGAAGGACCTGGAGCCTTTGACATGGACACGTCTTTTTCACCAGAAAGGCCCCGAGATGATGCAGGTGCAAATTGCAACCGAGCCTCAGAACCATTATCAGTCGCATCATGCCCCTTCTCCTCAACTGGTTTAGATCCAATTCTGTTATCAGCAGAATGGGAAAGATCACTTTGACTGTTACGTACCATATCGTTGTATTCTGCATTCCCTCTTGCAGTCATGCCCCTTGACCAATTCTCATGAGGTAGATCCGGCATCGCTGAAACATTGCCAGATTGGTTATTCAGGATACTAGCCGAACCACCATCCTTTTTCATGTTAATGCCAAAATTTTCTTGACAAAACTGATTAGGCAGAGAACTACCTGAATTCTGATTCAGATTGAAATGGGTGTGGTGTATGTTTGGCTGAACAAGAGATATTGGCTGCGGAGTCATCGGAAGAATCCCCTGGGAAACAGGAGATGTATATCTCAGCTGACCAAACTGGAACAAGGGAGGTTGTGACTGGTGCATGTGGCCCATGGATGGACCAACAGGTGGGTGAAGATGGAGAGGCATCTGTATAGAACCAATTTGTATGGCTGGAACGGGAGACGGTATGAGAGAAGGGCCAGAAAACAACCCAAACTGGAGTTTAACTGGTAAATCAGCTTGGCTTGGAACAGAAGATAATGCAGGCATGGTGGACTGGCCAGAAGAAGTACTTGATGCCATCTCAACTGATGAAGGGATTGTGTGCAGAACAGAAGGGCAAGAACTAACGGACGAATCGCCCAAGAGACTACAAGAAGTCGATTTCTGAGCAGTTTGGGGCTGGACAACTGAATACTCCGTTATCTTTTCAGGTTCATGAATCACTGCATCAACTGATCCCTGCGTTTCTACACCAACAGGAACTTCTGCCATCTCAATCATATTCCCATCTGTCTTCAAATCTCTCTCAAACTCATCACCAGGAATTCCAACTTCAACACCCTCATTGAAGCCTAAGACTAAATTGTCCATCACATTAGTTGTGCTTTTCTCCTCAAGATGCATATGCTCAAATTCCTGTGTCAGATTGATGTTTTCATCAGGTCCTTCATGCACTTCATCTTCTTCACCATAACCATCATCATCTTCATCATACTCTTCTTGTTCCTGCATCTCATCATGGTTCTCAAGACTCCATTCTTCATCCTCATCAACTGAGACAGACTTCGACGCCGCCATTGTAGTCACTTCTCCAGGTTCATCATTCACGACTTCATGTTCATGAGTCTCCTTCCCTTCAGCTGCAGTGGGTATAACTGAACCAGCAGAATCATCCAGCTCATCATGAGAGAGATGTGTTGGAGAGCTAGGGGGACTGGAGACTGAGAGAGATGACTGTGAGTCACACCTTAGTGTGTCATTCTTGTCCAGCTTCTGTGCCATAATTTCTTGTTGAACATCAACAATATCAGTTTGTTCATGCCCTTCCTGAGGACCTCCATAATTCTGAGTCCTTGCAGTAGATTCTAGAGAACTTGAAGGAGCAGAGAGTTCATTCTCCCCTCTCACAGAGGATTTGGGCACGGATGCTAGTGAGGGAGGGGGGAGCACACGAGGCTGCTTCATGGAATACCGTGACCTCCCGTAGGAATAAAGCTTATCTGATTCAGAATTCATATACAACCGCTCTGAGTAAGGAGAACGAGCATTGCCACGAGAATGCCCCTGTCCCCACCCAACTTCGCCATATTTCTCAGCAACATTGTCATAAAATTCTGACTCAATATCCCTATTTCTGCCATAAGGTTCTCCGTCTCCAAAAGAGTTCCACCTGTGATCTCGATCTCCTAGATGAGGGAATCCATCAGTATCAGGATCTTGCATCCCCCCTCGGAAAGGAGATCTTGAAGGCATATACCCACCTCCTCCATAAAATTCTTTCCTAGGAAAACATCTCCCACCAATTGATGCTTCTCGCCTGGGACTATGATGACCATTATCCTGGTCATTGAGTAGGAAAGATGAGTTGCTTCCAACTTCAAATGCATCTCTTTTCCAAGGATTAACAGGTTTTCCTCTGTCCATAAAGCTAGATGAAACATCTCTAGAAAATTGAGGCCGGTCAAAGGGCCTGTCCATTGCAGATGAATCAGAACTTGCCGAAGTTGTTATTCTCTCGACCATTCTCTGGCTAACTTCCCAGTTATCAAGATCTGAATCCACAGACACATCACTGTCTTTTCCGCCAACTGGAACTTCCTCGTCTGCAGCAGTATGGACACTAGTACCACTCTTTCCAACTTCAGCCTCCCTCTTTGCTATTCTAGCCTCCAATTCTAGAAGTTTCTGCTTTGCAGCTTGTTTCCTCCTCTCTTCCTCAAGAAGCATCCTCCTTTTTTCCTCTTCTCGAGCAATCTTCTGCTCTTCAGCTTTCTGAATGGCCTCCAATCTCTCTTGCTCTGCTCTCCAGGCAGCTTCTCGAGCTTCTTCTTCCATCCGTCTCCGCCTTTCTTCTTCCTCCATAATTACCCTCCGTCTCTCTTCATCCTCTCTCCGTGCTTGTTCCAAAGCTCTTTCTTGTTCTTCAACGATCCTCTGTCGTTCCATCTCTTGCATCTTCTGAACTCTCTCAAGTTCAGCCTCGAAGGACTCCCTGACAGGATCATGGAAATCTGTCGGTTTAATCACATCCTTCTTCCTCTTCACAACTCCAGCTAGGTTTCCAGTAAATGGATCTCTCTCATCATAAACGCTGGAACTGAAATCTTTCTGATAAGGATCATCAAGGTAAGTCCGTTCACTCTTTGAAAATGAAGACTTCTCCCTGCCAAAATTCAGAGCTTGGTCATTTATGGAATGCCCCTTACTAGCTAAGGGAAAAGCTGATCTCGACCCTGCAGAATTCTGGTAACCTTCACCCCTGTATCTAGGGGATTCCACCGAATGATTCCAGTGCCACTGTCCCCCTTGTCTCCCTTGCCCAGCATCCCTTCTCACATATGCAGGGTCCCGGTTTCCAGTTCCCACACCATGCTGAGCATTGTCTCCCAAAGATGACATGTATCTGCTGTTGCTAAGGCTATCTGGCACAGTGATATTGTTTCCGTCATTTATAACTTGCGCTGCAGCAGGTTTATCTTTGTGAATAGAAGAATTCCTCCAAGTGTTGCTTTCCCTGTCTTCCCTGCTATACAAATTTGGTTCTCTCCGGTAAGGCTCAGGTTTATGGACCTCAGAGGTAGAACCCTTAGAAACGTTACCAATGTGCTGACCACGCCTTTCAGATAGACTATTGGGTGGTTTGTGAGGCAAAATGCTGCTCCTGGGCACATCAAAATCTCGATCCCAATATATTTCACTTTTTGGCAACTCATGATCTCTGCCACTCCTGCCAGAAAACCCATGACCTGTATCTCGCTCATCATCAGCCCAATCAGACCTTGGATTCAACCATAAAAGTGGCAGTGGGTCCTCTTGCTTCTGAGCGTGATCCACGCGTGCACTGCTTGATCTTGGACTCTGCCCACCATTTTCATTCACACCATTTGCAATGCGATGGGATGATTGGATGTGAGCTGGTGAACTGAAATTAGAACTGTTTCTTAGATCATTGGATGACTCCTCACTAACTAATTGCTTCAGCTTTTGGAAAGATCCTTCCTTCTGTTTTTGTGCAGGCCCAGTTGAGGAAGGCAAGGCAGCCCGTAGAGATGGAAAATCTTCTCCCCTCAACACCACAGCTTTCCCTAGAGAAGCTACATTCGAATGATGAGCTGAGACCGTATCTCCATGTCCAAGTCCCCCACCAAACCTAGCTGAAGGAGGCATATAAGTGCCACTTCCCTTGGTAGCTACACCTTCAGTATAATTCACACTCTCTGAAACCTGAGTATCACCACTAACTTCCTTCTCCTGCAAAGCAACATTTCCAGGTTTGGTCCAGCCCATACCTGAAGAAGTTGGTCTTGTACCAATCCCCGAACCAGCACCACCTGCCACCCCGCCCCCAGACCCTGATGAATCAATTTTCTCATATTCTTTTCTCAGTGAAGGCAAGTTCAAGGGGGGTGGAACAGATAATTTCGGCACAGCCTTCTGCAAAGGACGGTTTCGAGATAGAACAACCATCCCACCTCCCGCACTAGCATGCCCACCAGGTCGGGCTCGGTTTGTTCCAACACCCGGTCCATAAGGGCCACTATGAGGTGGATAATTATGATGAGAAGGCTGCCCATATAATTTATTCAAATTTACAGACACAAACTTGGATCCAGAACCGCCATGGTTGTTGGCCATAATCGAATAATCCAACCCGCAAACCTTGTTCTCAATCCGCAACAACGCATCAAAACCCTAGCCCTAGGTTTCTCTTTCCTCCACGAAAATCAGGTGTACGTACACACGCAGGGTCTGTTCAGCAGATCTCACAGTGAACACGAATAGAAAACGAAAACCTTAGAACGCCCTCTGAGCCTATCTGAGAATGAATAGAATCACAATAATTACACTATGATCGAGACAAAAATTGATCAATACAGCTAATAAATGTGCACGGTGTATAGATCAATCAGTGTGGAATACATACGATTAGGGCTTCAAATGTAAAGAAATTTGATTGGGAAACGCGATCAAGTTGAGAGAGTATAAGATGGAATAAGTTACCTCCGATGATGTAATACAGCGGATGGCGACGGTGATTTCGCCGGTGGTAGATACAAACACGTCAGAGAAGCCCTACAACCGCTCTAGTCAGGGCGAGGGCGAAGGAGAGTTGATTTTGTTTTAAGATTTGGGGAGAAGGTGAAAGTGTACAATTTGATGGAAACCTATTTTGGTCGGTGTGTTTTTTAATTTTAGACTAACTTACATCAATCGTCCCTTAACATGCCACTAATGTACAACTTAGGTACCTCAAGTTTTAAAAATTCGGATGAAAGTCCTTTAAGTAAGGTTATATGACAAAAAATAGTTTTCTCCCTTGGCCTTGATCAATCGTTTGCAACTCACATGACCACATTTAAGGGTAGTTTTGTAATTTTTACTTACTTTATTATTGTTTTTCTTATTTATATTTTCTTCCCTTTTTGTATTCAGATAACACAGTATATGAAAAGTGTCAGATAGAATTTGTCATGGCGACAGATGAACATTTTTAAATCATTTGATAGATATCATTGATACAAATCGTAAAAGTGTAACGCCCTAATTTTTCGGCATAGTTTATAATAGATAATCCAAATGAGAAACTAAATAATTATTGAATGATTATCATTGGTATAAATTACGTTAACCATGGTTTTAGAATGTTCGATGATTACCAACGAATTAAATAAAACATTAAATAAACAATAAAATTCCGGAATATCATTGATGTTGTAATCTAAAGTTTTGATGTATATTATTGATTTATGAGTTGATGGATAAAAAATGAATGGCAAAAACTAAAAATCTTTGATTGTTTTGTAAATACTAGAAGGGTGTTTGCACAATGCAGCGAGATACATCTCGATTTTAGTATTTTTTTTCTTTTTGTCTTGATTTATGTTATAATACGTTTTTATTTGACTTTGAGAAAACGATAATGTTTTTATTTTTTAATAAAATATAAATATAAATATATCATAAAAAATTTAAAAAGAATATTGATATTAGTACCGGACTAATTATTTAAAATTTCTCATTTTTTGTGTATTTCTTTAGTTCATTTTTTTTATTTTTGGTTTAATAATATAATTTTTTATAAAGATAAATAATTAAGTATTTTTTTTTGTTAGAATTCAATGATTATTCTAATTATATTTAATTTTTATATTTTTAAAATTAGATGTTTATTCTTTATTTGATTATGTCTATCTGAAGTTAGTTACACGAATTCAAACATAAAACTTTAATAGGTTGTACTTACACACAATTTATCTGTAATCTTGAATTTTAAGTAATATGCATCAATAAAAAGTAATTCATGCATAAAAAATTATTTAAAAGTGTTTGTCAAATGTTTTATAATATAGTATAAATTAACAATTTATACTAGATATCATTAGGCATGGCAACGGGCGAGGATGGGACGGGTTTTGTAATTCCCGGCCCCGGTTTTTAGTAAGATCCCCTGGCCCCAGCCCTGGTGGGTACGAGGATTAACATCCCATCCTTGATCAAACTTTGGTCAAACCCTATGAAAAATATATGTTAGTTTGAGTCTATCGGGAATCCTCGGTCCCGCTTTGAGTAACATCCTCTGGCCTCGGGACCCGTTTTAGTAGAGAATCCAATCCTATTTTCGGTTCTGGTGAACTAAGTTACTTACCGGGTCGAGACACATCATCATCGTTAGATATCATGATGATTAATATTTGGTAATTGATAAATTAGTAAAAATTTCCAACCACTAAAAGGGGCATTGTTTGAGTTGACCCATTGGGCCTATGTAACTAGCATATGTTACTCTTTCATTGTTTTTGGATTTAATTTTTATACTAATTATTCTCTTGGGCTAGTCCATTGGGCCTGACTATTTCATTTTTTTTCTGAAATGGGCCTAATTGTTTTTCTTAAGTGATATTTTTATTTCATTTTCGGATTTTAACAATTAACATTTAATTCCATGCAATTTTCAAAATATAAACAGTGGATTTTTTTTTTGATGACACCAAGGGGCTATTTAACAAAACAATTATCAAGTAAATACTTACCAACCTTTCAGGGTAAGATTTTTCATCATTAAAATGACATCATATGTAACAATCTTACTTGATAAAAACTTATGCAAATAGTCTTTACCCTCATTTACCAGGTAAGACTCTCATTCCTTGTCTTACGTCTTACCAGGTAAGATTCTGGTCATTGTCATATAAATTCGGTAAAAGTAAGTGACGTGATAACCGTTTAGTAAACGACCCATAATGGATGATCTTATTGGATATATATTGGATTGGATTGGATCTAGCCAATATTAACCGGATTGGATTAGATATGATCCATCCGACATCAATGGATGATCTAATCGAATACATCCAATGTCTTAAATCCGATTTACAACATTAATATTGTTTTCAACCATAAAGATGCTTACCCTTTTATGGCCAAATCCAATTGAAAATTTAGTACTTGTTAATCGAACTTAAAAACACTTATAAATATCATTTTGAAAATACAACAGAACTATCAGATGAAGATAAGATCAACAAAAAACCTAAATTTGAAAATGCAACATAACTATTCCCCCTGTTTTATTGCAAGATTACAGGATCAACTTCTCCCAGTAACTAAAAAAGCTTTAGTAGTGCACAACAATCTATAAAACAGAACAGTAAGCCAGTAGCTACACAACAATCTATAAACAGAACAGCAAGTAGTTTATCCCAAATTCTAAATAAAATAATAAATAATATGTTAAGTGGATGGTAATTGGATGGGGTTTTGGATGATAACTGGATGGTATCGGTCAATTCTTATTGGATGGTACTTCGGTTTGGTTTCGTTCTTATCCGTTATGGACTACCACCCAACCACAGATCGATCCAAATTGGATGTTGAAATTTTCGATCCGATTCGATTCAATTACAATTGGATAACCAATCTATGCCGATCGGTTCTAATTCGATTAGTCGGTTTTAAATTTGATCGGTTGACTTTTCCCCAATAAGAGCATCTCTAACATATAGATTTTGGCTAATTTTTTCTTACAATAAATTCTCCAAGAGCATCTACAACAGATTTCCCAATTTTTTTTAAATAAAAAACCAAAAGTAAAAATCTCTAAAAAAAATTACATTCAACACCAACTGATTCCTCATTTTAGGGAATCCAACATTGATTATAATATTAAAATATTTTTTTCTTTCTCTAAGTATTTATCTTCAAAATTTCCTATTGGTGGTATCACTTGTAATCATTTTTGAGGTTATCTCCATATCTGGGGAAAAAAACCTTTCTCTCTCCTATTTTCTCTGTTTTGGAGATAATTTGGAGAAGTTGTTTGAGCAAAATATTGATTTAAAATCCCAATTTTTTCCGTTTTAGAGAAGTTGTTGAAGATGGTTCACAAGATACGTGTAAAAATTCTCCAAATTAAAAAATATATAAAAATGATTCCTTATGAGAGAGAAAAATGATTTTTTTAAATTAATTTTATGTAATTTTTCAAACGATTTAACTTTATGTAAAGTTAAGAATTCTTCAAAAATAATAAAATAAGAGGGAAATAATATTATAATAATACAATTAATTTTATAATTTTCAAAATAAAAAAATTAATAAATCAAAATATAATTTCCTTTGAAAATTTTTATGTTCCATTTTGTAAATTTGTTAGAGGGTGGACGAAGATACTCAATGAACCATTATGTAACAATGAGTCAGGTATCCAAAATAAGGCATGGCTCGTTTGTTGACTTTTTACCTTGTGAAAGATTTCGTCATGCATCGGTTCAAGAAGATTTGGGTCTTTGGATTAGTTCAACTTGTAATAAAGTTTCGGCATTTTAGGAATCTTTCTTAGAGGTCACCTATTCAAGTCTTTTAAAGCCACTGAGGTATCCTAACTCTTCCTCGGGATCCATTGGATTAGCTAAGATATGCACAAGCTGGTCTAAGTTGGAAACGAGTTAGGCACAATCAAGACAAAGAAAGCCAGACTCACCTCATGGATTGCATTCTCGTATGCAATTGTAACTAACTAGTCTTATCGCCATGGCATTCACCATTGCTTCAAGAGAGGCTTGAGGGTGGGCATTCATGAAAACTCAACCATCGTTCCGTTAACAGCGACAATGTTGTTAGTGGTGGAGATGTGTGAACTTGGAAACTGCTCGCAAACCACCAGTTGTTGGGTGTTGGAGTGTGCTAGGCCAACCTTGGGTGCATATATAAACATGGGTTCGTTTTATAGGATTGGGTTGCCTCTAGTTGTGATTGGGTTTTATGATAGCCCAAATCCGCAGTTGTCTTTTAAAATTTAAAATCACTCAATATATTTCTTAAATGAATAAACAGAAAATTATAAATAAAATAAAACGAAACTAGTCGATTAAATGTCTATATTGCCATGCTCAGTGATTTTAAAAAAAATCAATTTTTTTTACCTTTTTTGTTCTCAGATTGATTTTTTATATAACATTAAAAACGAGTATTGGAGTGGCTTGTACAAGCAAAGATGCTGATAAACATAAGTAAAAGAACTTAATTTCTCATCATTTATAAAGTGTTGTATATAAATAATGAAAAAAAAATTAACACTGAAAATTATAAAGTTTATGTTTGAAATAAAATAATAATTGATGGTTTTAGATCCAATAAAAAAAACCAGATAAAAAATACTTCTATATATATGTGTCAAACTAAACATCATATGATTGTTATTTTTTTGTCATCGTCTGTTTGATTCAAAATTTTATTATAATCTAAATATTTTAGATTTAATTAAAAATTTGTAATTTATTTTAATTTTAGTGATGAAGTATTTTTTTTTTCGAATAATAATAATCAGCAAGCATTATGTTTGAGCTTAATGATTAAATATTCTGTATCTTTTTTGGAAGGGACTCCCAAATTATGTTTGAATTAATCTCGACAAATTGTAACCGCAAGAAATCAACCCTAATAAACTCAACGTCCATGATTATTGTGTACGTTTGGAATTCAAACATGGGCATAGAGAATTATTAGCATATATTTATTAGCCGCTTATTAGCTTTATGAATATTTAAAGGTTTTTAAAAATTACACGTATACATGAATCATTTGTAAACCTGAAATTTTAATAATTATATA